ACAGTTAATTCCATAAATTTAGAATAATTTAAGAATGTAAATATTTAATGTATAGGATAGTTTTAATATTTCTGAGGAAATGTACTTTTGTTTTAATTACTTCCAAGTAACACAGCATATAAAACTAACCTGTTAGCAGAGTAAAAATAATTCTAAATCTAGTTTTAAAACTAAATAAAAATGATTTTAATTATTTAAGTACATATATTTAAACATACATATGTAGATATATACACATACACACAAAGAAGGAAATGTTTAAGAAATTAAAATGAAAACATTTCCCCAGAATCCCTTTTAGGTTATTTGTTTAGCAAAATATTTTAACTTGTAATTCAAAGACAAACTTCAACCCTACCAATGTCTAAATTAATGAGATTTCACAATGACAATTTAGTTATGTAAGTATACTCAACATTTTCAAGATTATGCCCTGAAGCTAACAATAAAAACTCCATAGTAACAAAGAGCTAATAGAATTTGACTTAAACAGGAACCATCCGGTGAATTGTTTGACATACTTATCCCTTTTACTTATTCTCCTAAAATCACTACGAAAATCATAAATCAAGCAAATGCTATGATCAAACAAGAGAGAAGATTTGGAATCAGGGACTCATTTATTTTCTGTCACTTATTATGTATGTGATTGCAGTCATCTAAATCTAGAAGTCCTAAAGGTAAAATAAAATACAAGCAATTATACAGAAGGCACAGTAAAGATAACATTTATTAAGTTTATATATATATATATATATATACACACACATATATATATATACATATATACGTATATATATATACATATATATATACGTATATATGTATATATATATATATATAAAACATCCCACATAACATGTGGCAGGAACATTAAAACTCAAGATAACGCTTTTTCCCATAGCCCACTACCCATTAAGCCCCATCTTCTCTACTCCCATTCTCATTTCCTGATAAATAAAGATAGGTGGAGGAACATGGATTACATTGATTATGTAGATGAAAAGAGAGTCAAAGATTTAAGTGAACATACCAAAAAAGAAAAAACAAAGAATCCCACAATTTCTAGACTAAGAAAACGTTTGAAGATTTCCTCCTCTAACAACATATAGTCAAACATGCTGGTGAGAAGGTCGGCTATCCTATTTTTCTTTAAATCCACTAAATTTTAAAACAGGAGTCATTTACAATGTGTGCATTTACAAACTGTGAAGAGTAGGACTACTTGGTCATCTGTAAACATGTGAAAAGGTTTATTCGTAAACAGAAAAGCAAAAGCTAATTCTATTTTTGAATGTTATATGTGCAATGGTTGATAAATTTTATTTTTATTATCCAAATAGAACCTTCAGTTAATAGAATTCTGAAATTTTTCAGATTAAAGGAATGCCCAGAGTAACTCAAATTTCTGTTCTGACCTTTGAAAGGCTCATTGACTCCAATATATTTAATACTGAAACAGGGCCTGGTTGACACCCCCCATAGTAGAGGCCTCTCCTCACATCCCAGGCCTCACCTTTCCTTGACCTACCTATAGCTTAACAATAGATCATCCCCTGTGGCTTGAGCTGGAATGTCCCCTATCCCACCCAGTTCCCCGTTTTAGAAAATTTCCCTAAAACTTGTGATTAACACTCTTAGACTTGTTGATCACAATACCAGGCTACTCCCATCATTGTTCCAGGGTTGCTGACTCCACCAGAGAATCACATTGCCAGGGAGAAGGCTCCATGCAGACCCCTAGAAACTATCATGTAGCCTCTGGAGGAACACTAGATTTCCCCTTCAATACCCAAGTCGGTCTGAGAATGTTAAGGCAGTTTTTGGAGGTGTTAACCTGCTGCCTTCTCAGACCACCAGTGCTCTGATAATAAACACTTATTCTACGACCCAACTCCTGTGTCAATCTATTGGCTGAGCAGCGCAGGCAGCACGAGCCCCCGGCTCAGTTGGCCTGTTTTCAATATCAAGTTGTAATAAGAGCCACAGTATAAATGAGAGAGTTAGGCTTTTAATATTCTGAGTTGTATAATAGTATAGATGGTGTTGCCATTCACTGAAATAAGGAATACTGAGCGTAAACTAGGTTGGGTTGGGTTGGGTTGAAATGGGTTGGATTGGGTTGTATTGAGATTTTTCATTTAGCCTTAGACACAGGAAATTCAGGGTACTTCTAAGACATCCATGGAGGCATGTCAAGTAGGTAATTGATTACATGGCCAGAGATCTGAGGAGAAATCTGGGCAAGAGTAATAAATGCATATCACCTAGGGATAGAGTTCAGGGAGGGGTATTATCTTGGCGTAGAATTAACCCCTGCTCATTCGCAGAATGTGAAAGTATTCACAAGACTCTATAAGAGTAAGAAAAGGCTTATTAAAAGTCAAATAAAAACAAAGAGAGTTCTGTTTGGAACTGGCAGAAGGAGTTTTGCCAGGGCAGTCTGAGAGCGAGCTGCCGAGACAGAGAAGTAAAAGAGATACTGGCAGAAGTTGCCAGGGCAGAGTCTGATGGAGACAGCTACACCGATGAGAAGAAGTGACGGGGTTTTATATTTTTCCATTCAAGATGTAGGGTGCTTGTCAGCTTGCAGGGGGGCTGCTGTTACAATCATATTCTCCTGAGAGCCATTCTGTTCCTGTCTATGATGGGCCTCTGTTAGTTTGCAGGGGGATGCAGTTGCAATTAGGAACTAACTGTTCTGTTCTCACCTATGATGGATGTAAGGTGCTTGTCAGCCTGCAGGTGCAGTGCTGGCCAAGGAAGTTAAAGCGAAGTGGTTAATGTTAAGCTCGTGCCTGTTAGCCCACAAGCTCGCTCCTGTTAACTCTTTGCCTGTCCCATCCTGCCAGCTCACAAGCCCACTCCTGTTAACTCTTTGTCTCATCAGGTATGACATAGCCTAGGGTCACGCCTGAGTAGCTCAAAAGATTGGCTGGATGGAGGAAAATAAGTTATAAAGAATGAGAGGCTAGAAAAGAGAGGAGTAAGATCTGGCATCTTGAGTCCCAAAGACTAAGAGAAAAGAAGGAACATGAGGTCAACAAAGTCAGATACTGCAAGGAGGTCAAGTAAGACAGCTCTAAATTTAGTAATGTAGGGGGGAAAAAAAGGAAAAAAAATATAAATAAATAAATAAATAAATAAATAAATAAATAAATAAATTTAGTAATGTAGGGATCATTAGTGATCTTGCAAGGTGATCCTATAGCTTCTATTTTGAGATTTAAACCTCTGGTGTAATTTGATTTGTCAGTGGTTTGGCTTGGGACTTTTTGAAAGTTTTTCTTCTCTTTGCTTCCCTCCCCTCGCAGGGAACTTTAATGACTCTGTTTACTATACATTTACTATGCACACCAGTTTCCAAGGATCTATTTCATTCTGGACATGTACATGCCTGGTCTGGTGATTTGTGAGAGGTTTTTCCATCTGTCCTTGAGGCAGGCCAGCCTCTGGGAAGCATTTTTCAGGAATTGCCTGACCAACTTCTCTTTTCCTCTGTTCTGTCTCTCCTTGCTTGCCTATAAAAACCAATTGGCTTTATTAAGAGCAGGAAGGCAGTCTTTGTGACAAGGAGTCCACTGTCTTCCCTTACTGTTGGTGGCATTTTGGAATAAACCTGCTTTTCTTTCCACCAACCTCACCTCTCAAGTTCTGGCTTTCATGTGGCGAGCAGCTGGACCTTCTGAATGGTAACAATCTTACAGGTACCTATTTCAGTAGTGATGGGGCAGAAGCCAGATATATGTGGGTTGAGAACTAAGTGGCAGTTGAGAAAATGAGTGTGCATACTTATTCTTAGAACAAATTTAACTAAGAAAACAGAAGACAGGAGAAATTAGGAAAAAATATGAATATTCAAGAAGGGTTATCAGGGGTGAGCAGAGAAGTAAGCTTATTTTTACGAGTCAAAACTTAAGCATATTTAAAAGGTGAGCACAGGACCCAGCTGAGAAGAAATGGTGAACATAATACATAAAATAATTCAAATGTTCTGGGAAAGTAAAAGATGATGAGGTACAAAAGAAAAGCAAAAGAAACAGACTTGCACGAGGCAAGCAACAGTTCCTCTATAAAAGTTAAGGAAGGAGAATGGGTACAAATGTGGTGGATGTGGATATCTAACCCCAGAAAACAAGGGGTTTGCCACCTGATGATTCTAATTCTTTCTGTAATGTAGGAGAGGTCCATTGGCTGGAAGAGATAAGGAGACTAGAGCTTTGAGAGGAGTAGAGAATATGTGAAAAGTTGTGTAGAAAGTAAGAGCACATATAGACCAAAGAATTCCTACACATCACCATGTCCTTGAGAGTCTTGATAAATCAAGCCAGTTATGAGAGTACGATAGAAAAAAATGTACATGGTCTAGTCACAAGAGAAATCACACCAGTAAACTCCTATTGCAGATGCAAACAATGACCAAAGTCAAATTAGAAATTAGAAATTTTATCAAAATTTAAATCTTGAAACAGTAGAAAGCATAATTAATGCAATTAGTAAAAATGAGTATACAAAGGCACGTAACGTCAGAGAATTCAGAAAGATATTTACAGATCTAGAAATAAAAAAAGCAACAGTAAGACAAAAATAGCACAGCAAATCTCAGAAGGAGTTTTAGAGGTGAAGCAGACTGCTATTTTCTAATAGGTTTGTGTGCTTCCTTCTAACACAGTAAGTTGAAGCCAATTCTACATAACACTGGCCTGCCACTTTCTTAACACAGAATTCACAGTGAATCTGGTGGGCCCTGATGAGGGGAAGTCAAGACAGTTTTTAACAGGATTTTCTGGAAAACAGTTCAAACTTAAAACACTGAAACATATAATCAGTACATTATATTGACAAAAACACAGAATCATTTTTCTAGAGTCCTAGAAATTATCTCAACTATACAAAGTTTTATGCTTAACATGAAATTTCAGCTTCTAGGAATTTTACATCCCTCATACATGTAGAAGTATTTTTGTAAAATTCCTTCAAATTATTTTTGCTTTACTCACTCAGATTTCTTTTCATAGGTCTTAGAAGATTCCTCAATTCTCTTCTCTAGCTCCAGGACAGCCTCCTCCTTTTTTAAAAGCATCTGCTGTGTTTGTGTAAGTTCGTCTGCTAAAGTTTTCAACCTAGAATGAACAGTTTCGTCATCTTCAATCAATGCATTTTAATTATTAATACATTCACTTTACACATGTACAAAAACAACATTCAGGGTTGTAATGTCTAAAACAGTAGCCACATATAATTTCATTTAATTTAAATTAACTTAAATAAAAGTACCATTGCAGTTCCTGGGTTTCATCAGCTGCATTTTAAGTGCTGAATAGACACATGTGGCTGGCTAGTGGCTACTTTATTGGATAGTGCACAATAGAAAATTTCAATAATCATAATAAGTACTCGGGCAGTCCTGTTCTAGAGAGTCTTATTCATCAAATAGAAAAAGACAAACAAACACAAAATAGAGAAAGAAGAAAGGACTTAAGTAAATAATGTGTCATGTCCCAGGAAGAGTGTATAGTGAAAAGACTATGGTTTTTATTTTCAAACACGTATGTACATTCTGGCTTTGCCACTTCTTATCTGAGATCCTGGGCAAGTTAGTTACTTAGCTCATTGAATCTATTTCCTCGTTTGTAATTTACGTACAGTAATACCTGTTTCAAAGCATTGTTTTGAGGTTCAAATGAACTAATGTAGATATAATGACTGGAATTAGTAAGCACTGAGTAAATGGTATCTAGTATTTTTTGCATCTGGTATATTATTTAATCCTCCTAATAGCCTATGGGATGGATACTATTATCCTAATTTTAAAGACAAGTGAGGCTCAGTTGTATAACAACTTAAATTGATAGTAAGCTATTGTCACATATTGTAATGTTTTAGAGGTATTTTCTATACAATTTGAAGAGAATTAAATACACCAAGTTAATATGCACTCATAGACCAGATAATTTATGATTCTATAAAATATATTTGGTCCTGAATAATTTCTACCACAAAAAAACACACAACTATCATATCATTTAAGTTTTTATCTTCAGTCTTTTAAACCAAGATATAAACCCCAAAATATACAAAAATATATTAAATAATCCATGTATGAAAATTTTAAATTATCTCAAGTTAAAGTGATGATAAAGTCAAAAGCAAAAGTCAAACTATGAATATTTGCTTTGCAAATTACAAGCAAAAGCCCTGTTAACACAGAAAAACTAATAGAAACAAGACAACCTGAAAACAAAATGAATAAAGAACACAATTGGAAGTTCATCAAAAAAAAATTCAAATAATCAATTAGCACATGGAGATAATGACAACCTGACCCGCAATTAAGTATCAGCAGATTACATAAACAGTAAGTTATTTTTCACCTACTAAAACTGACAAGTATGAAAAAGAGTGATACTATCCAGTATTCTCAATACTTTAAAAAAAAAAAAAACAGAAACACACATACACTGCTTGATGTGACAAAACTGTCACAAATTTTTCAGAGGTCATCTTGGAATTGTGTCTCAAACCTCAAATTAGAATATTCTGTGACCATCTAAAATTCTGTTTTACCAAAATATTTCACAACGTGCAGAAAATTTGTCCATATGAAGATATTTGTTGCAACACTTTCTAAAACAAAAAACTAGAAAATATTTAAATGTCCATCAACAGAGGAATGGCTGAATAAATTTTAATCCACTTAAGAGACAGGATAGCACATAGTCACTAAAAGAGTGAGGTGTGCACTTAAAATGTTCTTCTAAGTCATATTTTAAAATTAAAAAACATGATGCAAAATATATATTGCATGGTTCCATTTATATGAAAATAAATATATGTGTATATGTGCTACAAGCTGAATGGTATCCCCTCAAAATGCATAGGTTGAAGTCCTAATCCCCAATTAGGGTCAGATGACGTAATGAGTGGAGCCCTCTTGATGGGATTAGTGCCCTTATAAAAAGAGATGCCAGAGTGTTTGCTATGCTTTCTCTTTCTCCAAATGCACACAAAAAGGTCATGTGAGTACACAACAAAAAAGCAGCAGACTACAAGCCAGGAAGAGTCTCACCAGGAACCAAATTTGCTGTCGCCTTGATCTAGAATTTCTAACGTCCAGAACTGTGAGAAATAAATTGCTCTTGTGTAATCCACCAGTTTATGGTATTTTGTTGCGGCAGCCAGCGCAGATTAATACGTGTACCTGTGTACGTACGTGTGTGTGTGTGTGTGTGTGTGTGTGTGTGTGTTTATATGTGAATGCACAACAGAAGACCAGATTACTATAAACAAAATTTTCATCAATACTCTTGAGGGAAATGGGATTTGAAAAGGGGGTGATTTAAGGCCAAAATAGCCTTTTATGTTTTACTCTATATTTAGCTATATTAGTTGAATCTCTTATAATGAATGAATTTAATTTTTAATTATTAAATAATAGATAATAGAGATGAACGGGGCAAAAAAGTATGAGACATAATCAGAAAAACTCAAAATATAGCAATCTAGATTATTTTATTTCTGTTTAGAGTTAAGCAAAATAATAAATCTCAACAGGTTTCTGAGGGCATTATTACTATATTTCAGCAAAACATAATCAATGATGCTTATAATGATCTAGAATAAGGAAAGGTTAAATTAATATCAGTATTTTTCATTAAGAATGTGCACATATAAGAGATTTACATCAAAACTAGTAAAATTAAGTGTTTTAATTTGTTGGCATTATGAACTTCAGTATCTGGAAAATTCATTTACGTAGAATAGTTCATATCTTAACCAGATAAAGAAAGAATTACTGCCTTAAAATTAGTGGTCATTCTCAAGAAAGCTACATTTCAACTTCTGGTTTCAAGTTATTTCTTAAACAGTTATTAATGCATAAAAAACACTAATGCTTTGCTGTTTATAAAATGCTGCCTTATATTTGATCTCTTTTGATACTCATCAGAGTCTAGAACACATGACCCTACCTCAGAACCTGTCCCAACCACCTTCTGATACCCCGTTCTTGGGAGAAGCAAAAGCCATCTTCTCGCCACTGCCTCGGCCATGTTACATCAAAAATGACTTTGATGGAAAGCTCTTCCCCTCTCTCCTCACTTCCTCTCCTCTGTTTTTATAAGTCTCTCTCCTAGGCCTTTTTCTTACTTTCTTCTCTTCCTGATTAATTTTCCATCCGCTTCTCTTCTCAATTCTTCACTCATTCACTTAAGCAAGTGTTTACTAAGCACATGCCCTGTGTCTGGCACTCCGCTAGACACTAAGGATACAACAATAAGCAAGTTTGGCTTCAGGCAAGTTCCATTCAGGAGAGACATCGACCTTTTTCCCTCCAACCCTCTCTTTTCTTCTTTCTTCTCTTTCACTATTACTGTTTGCTTTCCCAATTTCTTCTGCATTCTTCTCACTGTATCATATCCTCAACTCCAACCTAAAATAAACACATAACCCCACCAAACTGTAGGTTGCAGGCACCATGGCTTACCCTCTACTTACATCCTTTACACGTAGCCCAATGTCTTGTACAGTTATGTGCTCAGCTCAGTTCTCTGTCCTGTTTTTCTCACCAGAAGCTCACACATTCAGCTTTTTTCCATAATTCTCTAATAACTACCAAGACTCTCCTGATTCCTATAATTTTGAATTATCTAGAAAGAACAAACAGCGACCTCAATGTGGGAATAACACAATTTACGATTTTCACTCACCAGCTACCATAATTCTAGAGTTAAACAGATATATAAACCATCACTGCAGCAGTGCAGTGAGGGAAGTGTTAGTTCTCTCCATATGAGTCGTTAGTACAGGGCTGACTCTTCATGTAAAAATTACATCATCCAGTTAATCACTTCACCTTGCCACATCAGAGTAAGAGAAGTATTTGTGTTTACAACTCTACATCTGTACTGCATTTTGTAAAGCACCTTATTATGGTATACCAGACACCAGCTCTAGAACCAGACACCCTTAGGTTCAATATTTACTTATCTTTTCAAACTTCCATTTCCTACTGTAATAAAATGGAAATTAATTTAACACCTAACTTAAAGGGTTCTTGTGACTATAATGCATATTTTTAAATTTACTAGTAGAGATTTTGAAGCATAGTATGTTCCCTATCAATGTTAACTTTATATCAGTTACTAATTTTATTAGTTCCATAAGAAACATTTTTTCTGAAAAGTAACTTTAAATTTTGTCTTCTGCTTTTTCTAAAAGGTATTTTAACATTGAGTGCAAAAAATAATGTTGCTCCCAAGTAAGAGGTAGGGTTGAATACGTTTTAAATAAAACTCAGGAACAGGTTATATTTTTATTATTTATATATCATTCCCAACTAAGGACAAGTAAAATAAAGGAATATTGCAAGGATGTTACATTAAAAATAGAAAAGCTACTAATAATTAAAAGTTGTTTTTCCCGGGGTAGCCACGTGGCTCAGTTGGTGACAAAGTGTGTCCTTAACAACAAGGTTGCCGGTTCAACTCCTGCATGGGATAATGGGCTACGGAATGGTGACTGGACTTGGAGCTGAGCTTGTACCCTCCATAACTAAAATTGAAGGACAACAACTTGACTTGGAGCTGATGGGTCCTGGAAAAAACATACTGTTCCCCAATAAAGTTAAAAGAAAATAAATAAACACTGTTTAATAAACACAGTTGTTTTTCCCTTCACAGTAATGTTATTTCCAAGAAATGAAATTTTTGAAAATGTGAAAATTTTACAGTTTCGTGAGAAAATATAAGCTTCTATTACTTTGTTATCCTTGGTACAAGTAAAACAGTGAGTATGTGTACAGACACACGCATACACACTCACACAGATACATGGTGATTTGATGTGACATAACAGTAATAATATCACCACAAATCTAAAAGAAAACAAAAAATAACACATTTTATTATTGAGTTTTTCATATTTATAATTTGGAAAAATTCAAAGGAAGATGTTTGATAGTGGTGAACATCATAGTTACCCTTGTTGACTGTAGTGCTGCTTTTTTTACTTGCTATTTTGACTCTGACAACAGGCGAGGAAGGGAGAAATGAGATGAAAGCCAGGTTCCTGATCCACTGCTACAATGAGCAAGTTTAAACCATCTAGACCACCTAACCCCATT